GACACCCTCTGGCCACCTTTGCCTGAGCAAAGGGACTAAATTCCCCATCGCCCGCATAAGTCCTCCCTGCAGCTTGTGCTATCTGGTGACACCCCACAGTGTCAGCTGCTTCCAGGACGTAAATTGGGGTGTTTCCTGCCGAATGGTCAGGTTTCTCTCACAACGGCTACTGTAGTTTCATGGTCCAGGCAAAGGCTGAGGGAACAACGTCCCCAGCACCTTCACTTCTGCCGTGGCTGGAGGCCCAGAGCACTAATGATCGGAGGCTCTGCCCACACGGTATTGATCAGCGAGCACTGACCAGGCAATGCAGAGCTGACAGTCAGTGGCCCTGGGAGGACTTCCCAGAAAGGTGTCTTCATGGCAGTTGGCACAACCTGATGGTCTGATTACCCCCGCCCTCTCCCAGACCTTTGTCTGGCCTTGAGCCCTCTGATCAGAGCAGTCATGTGGCAGTTTGCTAATGAGGTGACGCCCTCCATGGGCAGCACATTGTCAGGTGGAAGAGGAAACCGAGACAGGCCGAGGGAGAGGTTTACGATCTTTTCGGTCTTGCCAACCATGGATAGGAAGCAGAAGCAAGCAGAGAAGGTACAGTATGCCCACACTGCCACAACTAACACCCTTCATTTCTTCCCAGCCCCACTCTTCTTTCATGCTTCAGTAATTCCCCCCCTTCTCTTGTTTTTAACGTGCCTTCTCTAAACCCTGATCTCGCACTTCTTGCCAGGTCCTATAAAGAACATAGCGCATTTTCTTTGGGGGCTCAGGACCACACAGAGGCTTTGTCACCTTGCATTTAGTTCTTCCTTTCTTCTTCTCTGTGCATAACTCCTGGGAGGAGGGGGGGGACAGCTATTTTCTCATTGCCTCGGAAATCAAAGGGCATGTTCTCATTAGCTTTGCATCCTCAGTGCAGTGAGGATGCAAAGCCCAGAGTCCTGCAGAATGTCTGACTCAGTAGATCCAATAGAGGGGGAGGAGCAGAGGGAGCTCAAAACCTCTAGAGTACAATGTAAACATCTTCAAGCCAAAGGGTGTCCAACCCTGTTCACCCAAGAGGATGTTGTTCTTTTGGGGCAAAACCAGAAAGTTCATTTCCTGATTAGCAACTGGGTTTGCTCTGTTTCATTTTTCTGCCCAGAGAAATGGTATGATGCTTTCTAAGGCTTTGAATTCCACAGACCCCATCAGATTCCAGGAGCCTGTTGGCATCACCCACAGCTTCCCGAACAGCTCTCCCTGTTCCCTCTCCAAAGGCTCCTGTAATTTGGCCAGTCCCATACTGGTACAACTGGATAGAAGTTCTTTTAATACAGCTGGGTCCTCCAGTAACTGGGAGGTTCACCAGCATAAAGGAGCATTGCCCCAAGGCCTACACATTGCAGAAAGTCCTTCCCTGACCATCGCTGGTGATGTACGATCCCCAGCCAGTCAGAGAAGAGGCATTTTAATCCTGCCCCAAACTTATCTAAACTCTGCCTCCTCAAAGCCCAAAGGGTAGTTTGATTTGGCACAAGGATTGTTTAACTTTCTAGCCTTACGTTGTTGTAAGAAGTAATGAAACAGTTTCTGACAGTACGTAAGATGAGTATTTCACTCATTACTTACTTTCTTCCCACTTACCATGGGATGGAAGCGTTTGACTTTGTCGAATGCATGGAGACTTTCAGCTGGAAGGTGCCCAGAGAGTGGGAGATGTGTTGTTACCCTGGCAGCATTTCCTCTGATGAGCTGAGAATCAGTATCTTGGGAGATCAAGTTTCTCTTTTGCAGCTTTTCTGGATGGCCTACAACCATCTCTAGCATGCAGTCAGTAGACTTGTGCCTTGTGTTTGCACTTTGTGTGCTCCACTCCCATGCCGAGACATCTGTGTGCCCTCAGAGAGGTTGGAATGGAGACTGCCAGGTCCAGGTTATTTGCTACCTCCAACATATTGGGGCAAAGTTTTGTCTCTACATTTGCTCTGTGCTTTGCAGGCCAGGCCCTCCGGCCTGCTGAAGCCAACAGCTTTAGGGAAGATCCCAGGCAGATTCCAACTTCATCAGGAAGCGTTGCCCCACCTCCCCGTGCCGCCACTCCAGCAAACGCTGGACCGCTACCTGCTGGCCCTGCAACCCATCATCAGCGAGGAGGAGCTGAGCCACACGCAGGAGCTGGTGGCTGAGTTCCGCAAGCCAGGAGGCGTCGGGGAGAGGCTGCAGAAAGGCCTGGAGAGAAGAGCCAAGAAAACAGAGAACTGGGTAGGTTGGGACTCTGGCCCCAGGCTCTGGTTAGGGAGGGTGGAGGTCTGATGCACACCTCTCCAATGTCCTGGCTGCATCCACTGGCACCTGTGTTTTTATGGCATCACCTTCATGACCAGTCTGCTGCTGACCGCCCTGAGCTGTGCAAGCTCCTCACCAGGACTTGGGTGAGCAGAGAGATTTATAGCAGAACAGGGAGTTGCTAACCCTGTCTGTGGCTGCTGAAGCCTCTAATCTGTTAGCATCAGACAGATGCCACAAGAAGTTGAAGGAAACCCTCTGCTCGAGCCGTACACCAAGAGCCCTCACTGCCTTGCTCACATCTCCCTCTACCCTTCCACATGCAAAGCATAAAACCCAAACAGCTTACAAAGCGTGGGACAGAGCTGGGGGCAGGATGCTGAGACTGTTCAGCTGGGCTTGGGTCAAACAGCAGCAGATGCCATGCCTGCATGTTGCCTTTCTCCGTCCCAGCTCTCAGACTGGTGGCTGAAGACAGCTTACCTGGAGTATCGCCTGCCAGTTGTGGTCCACTCCAGCCCAGGTGTGGTTTTACCTAAGCAGGATTTTCTGGATCGACAAGGTCAGCTCAGGTAAAGTCCTTTTCTACCTTCCCCTAGGTTTCAGATGGGATGAGCTCTCTCTGCTGGACAGGGAGGAGGGTGTTCAGGCTGATTGGGAAGGAGAGTGATTAGCATGTGGTCGCCAAGTTTGATAGCTGTCTGTGCTGTGCTAGAGGGCTATACAGAAGGCTGCCAGGCTGTAAGGAGACTCCTGCTTGCATCAGACTAAATATTTCATCAAGAGGGAAAACCAGAGTCCAGTGGTTCAGGTACTAAATTGGGACTAAAAACCTAGGTTTTGGTCTTTGCTCTAGCAGAGATCGTCATTGCAAGATGGCCACATTGCTGGCTGGAGGCATTGTTGAGGATGTATGACACACTAAAGACTAAGAGGCACTAAGATTGTGTGTGCAGTTAAAAGAGGCATAAAAACTAGCCCAGGTATGTAAGGGAGGCCGACCAGAAGTGCCTCTGGAGTTTGCTAGTTTAAAGGGATGGGGGAACCTGCTGCAGGGACTATCAGTCAGTCTGTACCTGCAAGGGACCATCCCCTATTGTGTCATTTCACTTGTGGATTTATCGTTTGGAAAACTTAACAGCCACCAGGTCTCTCTCCACTCCCAGTTTTTGTTTGCAATCACACCCTGCCATGTGCTGTCTTCCTTGCGGACTCTAACCACTACGACCGTGTTAAAATCCATCTGCAAAATGTCAACACTGACCTTTGCGCAGGGTTACCTTCGCCACAGTTACCAGTCATTACTGGTCTGGCAGATCTAAAGTACCAGCCAGGGGAGCAGTGAGGCCGAGAACAAATCCTCCCTTTCACTCCCTTGGATACACCTGAGCAGGGGCGCAGAGGGTGAGCCATACAGGGACAGTGCAAGACTAGACAAACATCTTTGGAAGCTCTTTCTCATATTATTCACTCTCAAGTTATCCAAACACAAGATAAAATCTGGAGCACGACAAGTGCCCCAGCCAGTAGAATCAAGCAGCTGCATGAGAACCTGGGCTGCCATGTAAAATACAATTTAAATGTGTGCGTGTGCATAGTTTGTGGCTGCAGAAAGAAGTCTGACAGCGTGGCTTGAGGCTAAGGCTTCAGAAAACAGAAGGCAAGTTTAAAGAGTAGAGTTCTCCATTCCTTAATCCGGCAACACTGCTGGCTGAAGACAAGACAGCTAAGCTCTGCCTCGTCTCCCCCCCAAGCCCTCCCTCTGCTCCCAGGCTGTTCGCTCTCTGGGAGGGAACACAGGCTCTCTCCCTGTTGTTTCCCAGCTGTTTTACTTCCTCAGGTTTTGCAATAAGGCTGAGAAATTTTCACTGAAAACTACTTTGCAGGATGTCTTACTTGTTTAACAGCCTTTAGGTTCCTCAAGTTACATCCTTTGATCTTTACTAGGGATGGGTAGGCTGAGCAAATCTAGGTAACACTGCCTGCAAATACCAAATATTCGCACCACTTTAAAGCTTTTGAAGCTCAGCTGACTGAAACATCTTGTCACAGTGACCTCCTGCCTCGTGTGCATGGGTGGGAGCAACTAGGTCAGAGTAGGCCAACCTGTCGCTCCCAAATTAAGTGGTTTAACGTGGCTTGTCACAGCCTCCCTCCCTGCTGGGAGTTGGCCTTGGCAGTGTTTATGTTGATCCTGGTAAATGCAACACCTGGGTGTCAGCATGCAGCACATTTGCATTTGTTTCAGATCCCTCAATGCCAGAGGAATGCTCTTAAGAGTTGCATTAGCAGCAGAACATTAATCGGGTAGGAACTAAGTCAGCAGTGACAAGTCTTGGATGCAGGGAGATACAGCTACGTCTTGGCTTCAAACTCAGAGGTGGCCCCTGGACAGGGAAGGGCAGAAATCCCCTTTTCTTGGTGCTGTTTTAATGTTAAGACTCAGAACTAGGATGTGATAAAATCACAACATGTCAGTAAGAAATGCTGCTGTTAGAGGGTCATTTGTGCATCTGGACTGAACCCTGCTTTCTTGAAAGCTGTCCAGAGTTCCTCAGTTATACAGTAAGATACATAAAAAAAGAAACTGCCACATGGTAGGAGTATCCAGCAATCTCAAATCACAACCCCAGAGCAGCTGTATCAGCTAGCCAGGGATGGGCACAACAGGGACTTGGCAGAAAGGCTGAACTTTCTATGGAGCAGAGGGAAGCCCTGCGAGCCCTCCTCAGCTCATTCCTCAGCCCCAGATGTTCTGCATTTGAATCTCAACTTGTTACATTTGATATTTTTCCAGGTTTGCTGCCAAGCTGATCGAGGGCATCCTGGATTTCAAGACCATGATTGACAAGTGAGTTAGTGACCCTCCTGACTTCCAACATGTTCCTTGCTGTCACAGAGAGGCTGAGCCTAGTCAGTAAATCTCCCTTCCAGATAGAAAGGCAAGAGTAGACAGCACATACTTGAAAAGAGATATCGTAATCAACACCACTGCTCACTGCCAAGTTGACCACCACTGGAAAAAAGCAAATTTACTTTTCCTTCTTCATGTTCTTTGTTCACCTTAATACTTTCACTGGCACATGTACATGCTTAGAGGGAGTGCGCCTGACTGACAGTCCTGTGGAGCTACATACTTTTGTTTGCCCACAGAACAAGTTACAGCTCAGGCAG